GCCACCGGGCCTGTAGCTAGGATAACCTGGGATCTAATCGAATAAACGACTCTCCTCCCCTCCCCGCACATTGGATGAAGATAGGAATTAATTTGAATGCACCTGAGAATAAAAATAGAACAACCTCCCTACTGTGTACTAATTCCTACCTCTGTAAGAACCTTGTTGGCATAAAATTTGAAGACGAGACATGGCAGAGCGACGCATTGAATTCACCTGGCCTAAGTATGGTAATGGATTTGAGCTCGCTCGCCAGGGAGTAAACAAGAATGATCCAACAATGACAGCCGGGCTCGAGGCGGACGAGCGCCTCCCACAGAAACGGGTATGATCTCCTTGATTTAATGCAGGCCTCAACGTTACATTTCGACTGAGATAGCGCAGGATTTAAATCGAACTCCGATCAACGATCAAAAAGACTGGAACGAAGTCGCAGATAATCGAACGAGCGACGCCGGCAGAAATTCACATGTATTATTGAGTGCGGGTGCAGAAATAAACTACCGGGCCTTCTTCCCCTTGCAACAAACTTGAATAGGAAAGCAAGGAATTGGAACGCACCGCTGAATAAATACACAGCACCTGAACCGTCGGTCGCGCCCGCACATAACAATTCTTAACTCCATTCTACGAGTCTCCTTGGGGTAGGGATTCATTTGAGACGGGGCAGTGCGGCAACTCATGTGAGACGGGCACAGCAATTTATTTAAAGACGGCATGGATTTGAGCGTACCGCGGAATAAAAAAGCAGCGGAGATTGGGATAGGGCGTGGGCTCGAATCGAACGAGCACATCCTGCTTACAGTGGAGAAAGAATGACCGAGTCCAGGTCCGGACCTCCCGCTACCGGGCCTTCGTTGCAGACTTTGGAACGTGATCAGGGCACATCAGATGGGCTCTGGATTGCGTTGAAGTGGCGTTATCCTACATCTGTAAATAAATTCGATCTTTTACTTGCGAGTACATATACCAAATTACATACCTCGCGATTCGAATTTAATTGTCATGAAATGCGGCAAAGTGCTGCCAAAGCCGAATTTGAACACACCACCGAAGAATAAAAAACCATCAAACTGCAACAGTGGCCCGAGCTCGACTCGAACGAGCGTCGCCTGCGTCAGGGGGATATATACTCACATTGGAAGCAGGCGCGGACCTCCCGCTACCGGGCCTTCCTTGCAGACTTCGGAACCGGGTAGCATCGGATTTTTTCTCGATTGCGTTGTCGGTGCGGCGGCGTCGTACTGTGCAGATCAAAAATAGCACTCGAAGTTGGGGTTAATTTGTAAATCAGATCGAATGCATCCTGGGATGCAATCGCGCTGGATCACCAGGAATCCGAATGCCTCGCATCCAATACTGCGACAGGCGCGAGTGCAATGCTCGATCAAAATCACCTACTTACCCTCAATTGTAGTGGACGCGATTGCCTCAAGATTACCTCGCCTCGATCAATTGCGATGGATGGATTAGATAGAACTTGCTCGCAGCGGTGTGGGGCGCGCAGGGGATTAGGTGAGCAGAAGCATGGTGCGGTTGACGCCAAGTTGACGCCGAGGTAAGAGGCAGTGCAAGGTCCGTGCACATACATAGATCCGAAGTCCGACGTGTCCGATCTGGTGTGGTTGCCGGCGTCCTTTTCTTCTAAATCTTTGTGCTCTCCATGCTGGCAAGGTCGTCCAACAAGCGATATCTTTGTCGCGAGCGCAACCACGCCTGTGCTGGCACTGTGCACCACTCATGAATCATTTTGTGCTTGCATCTCTCTGTCCTGTGTGCCGTCCTCCTGCTCTTCGAGCCGTCCTCCCCGTGTGTCTGCGTCCTCGTCCGGCACGGTGCCGCTGGCTCGCCCACCCGCGAGATAGCTTGACTACACCAACGAGGCATTTGAGGCGTACCGGGCGTTTGGGATGCGCATGTGTGTTGGTTAACGTCGAGGTAAGTGGTTGGCTTGACTTGACCTTTACGTCCCTTTCTCGATGTCCTGTGGTCCTGCGTTGCTGCGTCCCCATACCGCCGCACCCAGCCTCTCCTTTTCCTGCCTCCCTTTGTCGCTGGGTCTGTGGCGCTTCGCCTGTCAGAGTGTATCCCGTCAGCGCACCTGCATCCTCCACCCTTGGCATCTCCTCACACACACGGTCTACATCTACGTGTGTCCATCAGCCGGCATTCCTGCCCTCCCCGTTCATTCCCCCGTCCTGCCGCCTCCGTAGATAGTCTTCCCTCCCTTCCATGCATGTCCCCGTACCCCATTCGCTCCGTCCTTCTCACTCCCCTACATTTCGATTCGCTCTTACTCCCCACACATATTGCTGGACCCATTTGCCATACGGTTATCCCCGCCGCCCGCCCATCTCACTCCTCGCCACATGCCATTGTACGCCCCCGCTTCCTCCACTCCAGTCTAACCCTGACCGCGACGCACGCGCTCCGACACACCTCCTCACGAAGCCGCACGTCGTGCGGCTCTCCCCGGCTTCCCGGGCCTCCCGCACACCTATCCCGCTGAGGCGTGCTCAATCGCGTCAAGGTGCGCCCCGCTTGACACACGCATGTACCGAGGCGATCCTCAATCTCGACCGTAGGCAGGTGCGTCGTACCTCCCAGGGGCTGCATACATACATAACTCGTCTCCGAAGGCCACAAACACACTGCCTTTCACCCTGCGTCGACAACGACCCACGTTGCGCAGCAGAGGCGCGTGCAGTTCGACCTCATTTTCGTCCACGCGGACATGTATATTCTCCGATACGTGCGCACGGTGCCGACGCGGGTCGGTGGTCAGGCGTAAGTTTAATTCGTTTATGTCGCGCGTGGAGGCTTTTTTACTTGTATTATACGCACACGAAATATATACGGAGACATCGACACCGTTCCTCGCTCCACTCACCCAACCCCGCGCGAAACTCGGCGAGGGAACTGATCTTCGGACACAGCGAGTATCGCGATGGTTTTCAACGCCCCAAGGATATAATAACAAGTCGCCGCTAGCTCGTGGCCCGGGCTCGAATCGGACGAGCGTCTCCCGCAAATACACTACGATAAGTCCGCGCAATCGAGTGCGGGTGCGGTACGTGGCCTTTGTAGGGTACCTGCATGGTACGGAATAAGGATTTATTTGAAGTCTTCATTATTAGTTGCAGGTGCGGCCCTCGCGATTGCGGACTCTCCGCCGGCTCAGCCTATTTCTCCGGTTATACCCATCAACTATAGGGTTTGCAGGTGCTTTCTCCAACATCCGCGGATGGATAGAAGAGTACTGGAATCGAACTCACCAGGAATAAAATATCACAGCAAACCTATGCATGGCCCGGGCTCGAATCGAACGAACGAGTCCTGTCGCTGTTTTCAAACCTACTTGGTACAGATGCGGCCTTGCATTGACGGGTACCGGGCCTTCAGAGTGTACTTGAAAATTTGGATAAGTAGTAAGTATTTGAAGTCGCATTTGGCTCACGAGTCACCGAGGAATAAAAATAATTCTTACCCAAAATATGGCACGGCTCGATTCGAACGAGCAGCTCCTGCTGAGTGGACATGTATACGAACTGCGAACTGAGTGCAGGCGCCGAACCATCTGCTAACGGGACTTCCTCCCCTCCCTAATCACTTGAAAAGATAGCTTTCAAAATCAAATCTCAACTCACCAGAGTGTAAAAATAACTCGCCGGAACGAGCGATCTCCACGGTTCTATTTCTGCAGTGGTGCGGAAACCATCCGTCACCGGGCTTTCCCTAAATACCTGCACCTGGTAATATACTAACATTCGAACTCGCCGAGCCTGCAGAAAAAGCAATTCTGCACTGACGAGGTAATCCGTGGCGCCCATATTATCCCTGCATTTGCATGGGGCAAGACCAAGGAACTGTTGGCCCATGGCTCCGTGGGTCGCTTACCAAGAAACGACTGACGAGGAGGACTGGCAATATTATTACGTGAATTTGTGAGTTTACACCGCTATAAATTTGACGATCTACTCACCGGGCATTAGCTTTGTTGACCGCGACATGTACATGCGCTATAGAGGCGGTGGTGTTGGCCATTATCAGGTCCCGATCCCACCCGAGGACGATGCCGCACCGACGACACCCACCGAAGAGGAGGACCCCGAATTCCCTATTTCTATTCCTGTCATCCCGCCGCTACCGCCACTCACGCCTCCGCAGTCACCTGAGGCTGGACCTACCGTCTTGTCCGATAGCAGGCCACCATCCTCGTTGTCTCAGAACTCAGACAATTCCGAGGGTGCGCACACACCGCTTGTCAGCGAGTCGGAGTCTGAACTCGAGGATGAGCGCAATCAACCAGTTGAGGGACTTGGAGAAGAAGAGGGCTCGGAGGACGACGATCTGGGCCCAGAGGATGGCGATGGTGATATAGAAGACGAGGTCGAGGAAGGATATACCCCACTGTAGGCATGTGCCGCTTACAGCAATTCATGATAGCGCCGTGAATTTTCATTTGCTGGACGCAGCCTTATATAGCATTGAAAGTGCGCTACCAGCCATGCGACAGTATAGCAGCCTTATACGTGCCTTATATAGCCTTGTGAGCCGCCGCCAGCCTGGTGAAGCCCCTATATGGCCTGATATACGTCATCCGGCCATGTGACTTACATCAGGGCATAGCAGGTTTCCCCGCTTTTGGTGATGCAAGAACAGGGTCCGGGCTCGAATCGAACGAGCGCCTCCCGCACAAAGTGACCATCATCCCCAGAACAGAGAGAGGGGGCGGATCCATCTGCTACTGGCTTTCCTAGGGTACCTGCAAACTCTGATAAGTATTAAGTAATTTGAAGTCGAATACTCGCCGAGGGAAAAGAAAAGAAAAACAGTGCGGCAGTATGGTCCGGGCTGGAATCGAACAAAGTCAGGGTTTATCAATCGAACGCAGGCGCGGAAATTCCCGCCGCTGCCGCTGTCCTTGTTTACCTGGTAATGCAGCATTAAAAATCGAACCAGCCTGCAGAAGAAACAAACAAACCACCTGATTGACACTGTGGCCCAGGCTCGATTCGAACGAGCGCCTCCCGCAAACTGCTACTAGTACTCGTTATTGAGCGCGCGCGCAGACCATCCGCCACCGGGCCTTTATTGGGTGGGTTAAGATAGCATTGTACCTAGGAAGGTCGTGGTTTATTAATATTAATATATTTGACCCATTCTGAATAAGCCGAAGTCATACTTGGGCCGTACCCAATTCCCTCCCGAGTCTCACATCCGAGAGCAAAGGCGGACGCACACTTAGAAAGAAGAAGAGTCGAAGTGAAGAAGAGTCGAAGCAAGAGTGCGCTTGCCCGTGACGTCACCACCGCAACCTTCAAACCCGCCCGCCTAAATTAATCGCAATCTGATCTAATCTTAGCGATAAGCGCTAAGCGCCCTCTCGCCCCTAAGCGCGCATCATCATTGCAGCGACCTCCAACCGCCGGGCGCCCACCAGGAAGTGGCGAACACCAATGCGCGTTCCACCCGGTAATATAACGACGTGCGGGCTCCCAGGAGATGGCGTATGCTCTCCAGTATCTCGAGGCGTCTCGAATACACGATCTCGAAGGCTCGAATGCAGCCAGCCCGGCGTTATAATAACAGGACCACTTACGATACCACGGCAGCGTTATATTATATTTAGAGTCGACAGTGTATGTAGGGAGACTTCCGAGATAACGATATATCACTACATTCTATTTATTTTCAGTCTTTTGATTCCTTTACACGCTTTCCCCTTTCCCCTTCAAACCGGTTACAAAAGGACACCCATTCTCCGCATCGAGCAGCGCCCTCGCCGCCAACTTGATGTTCCGGACGGCGGCCCCTAAGCACGCCTACTCGACGCAGCGGGAGGCGGCGATGGAGACGGTCTTGGAGGGCTTGCCGCTGTCCGAGCTGAGTGCCTCCATCTGCTTGACGAGGTCTTGGCCTTCGGTGACTTCGCCTGTAAAAGTGTAAGTGTAAATTAGGATAAAGGAGAGCGGAGAGGGGAGAATAACGGGACGAGCGGGGTGGGGCGCGATGTGGAGCGACGGGGATTGCAGCAGGGGGATGGGATGGTGGGCGCGGAGGAAATGGAATATGCTGTCGCGACGCAAGCGACGTCGATATCGACGCGATCGACGCGATCGATGGAGACGTGTTGGAGATTAGCAATCCAGCACAAGCCCGAGGCAAAGCCGAGGTCGCTGACTGATATGGAACTGGATGGAACTTGCCAGAACATGCAGGAATAATTGGGATTTTAGTATAAATACAGTACCTACAGTAGGGCTCCTCATGAGCTTGTAGCCTAAGGCCTCACGGCCAAGAGTGATATCTTACCAGGTTCACGAGATAAAACCAACAAGACGCAAGGAAGTGGGGAAACACTCACCGAACACAACATGCTTTCCGTCCAACCACGAAGTGAGCACAGTCGTCATGAAAAACTGCGAGCCATTCATGTTCGGCCCCGCATTCGCCATGCTGAGGAGGAACGGCTTGGTGTGCTTGAGCTTGAGCTTTGAAGTTCTCGTCGCGCCGTAGATCGAGACGCCGCCGGTGCCGTTGTGGCGCGTGAAGTCGCCGCTCTGGAGCATAAAGTTCGGGACGATGCGGTGGAACTTGGAGCCCGCATAGGTGTGGCCCTTGGCGGATGCGCGCCGTTGAGGCAGAGCTTGCGGAAGTTGTCGGCCGTTTTGGGGACGACGTCGTCGAAGAGGTTAAAGACGATGCACCCGTCCAGTACGCAGCGTCCAATCGATTGTGAGAGATGGATGAGAGTTGCATTTGGCAGAGATGCCGGGCAGGGAGGATCAGCAGCAGAGGCGTTGAAAAGCTGAGCAGAACGGTGGACGACGCAGTGAAGAAAGATCACCGTGCCGATGTTGATCCGATCTCCGGTGTTTGCCGGCCCTCTCCTCTTTTGTCATCTCCCTCGACCTCGATTCTGTGTGTTCTTCCCAAGAGGTGGGATCTTATTTCGGGAGTCAGACGGCGAAAGAACAGACAGGCGGGATTCAGAAGTTTGCCGTCATATCCCCTTGCGCTATAATCTTCGGAGGCTGCTCTCACACACCACACCAACACCACACACCGGCACGCGTACAAGGCTTTTAAGTCCTGGGATACCCCACGGCGCAGCGCGGGAATCATATATATAACCTCGAGTGCCTCACACACCTCTCAACTTTTCCCTCCCTCGCTCTCAAACCGACCATAACCATGTCCGCCCTTCCCCTCTCTGCGTTCGAGCAAGGCTTGTATCCACGCCCATATCGCGTTCTTCGCCTATCTCGTGGCCCTACCCCTGGGCATATTCATCCCCAGATACCTCCGCACCTTCACTAGACAGTAAGCTCCGCCCCCGTCTTCCTGCAGTGCAGCCGCTGACTCATATTCGCGACGCAGCTGGTTCTGGCCACATGCGATCATGAACTTCCTCGTTACAGGTCCGCTCGTCTTCACGGCCTTCGCGCTGGGATACCAGACGACAGCCGTCAGCGGCGTCCCCCACTTCACCGACCCGCACCAGGTGCGTCCTCCGCCCCCGTCGTGATCGCACTTTCTTAATTCAGAAAGCCGGGCTCGCGCTGTTGATCATGTACCTCCTCCAAGTATTCCTCGGGGCTTTCATCCACTGGGTGAAGCTACCCTTCCGCTTCCCCGGCGGGCGGCATCCGCAGAACTACCTCCACGTCATTCTCGGGCTCAGCATCGTCGTGCTTGCATCCTGGCAGGTTCGCTCTTGCCTCATTCATGTCGTGCCACATTCTGATCGATCACCTCCCTCTAGACGCACTATGGGCTGTGGACCGAGTGGGGATTCGCCACGGGCAACGTTCACCCGGTGAACTGGAGATGCAAACACTTCTGGCTCGCCATCGTCGTCGTGAGTCCCATTTTCCCTTTACAATGAACGCGAGCTCACAGGGGCGGGAAGGTGATGTGGGGGCTGTATGCCATCGGCCTCTTCCTTCTCCCGTGCCAGTTCAAGCAAGAGGCTGCGAGCCGGAGAGCCAAGGACGAGGGCCAAAAAGACAATCTGCCTTTGATCTGAGCGGCTGGCGGCTACTTCTCGTCATCGAGGACGGTCTGAAAATATTGTAGAATATTATAACGAGGTTCCGCACCACTTGTAAATTACCTCTTTGCCACCACTACCCTGCTTGTTGGTTTAAATCTTCATCGCTCATCAAACGAGCTACGAAATTGTCTTGTTATAGGAGTGATACAAGTGTACCACAGCTTCGTGATCGAGGTGGGAGAAAATTACCTCCACAACATCGTTAATTTTAAAACAGTGGTGCATTACACCTGAAGCTGTTCGCAGTCCCGAAAAGGTGCTGGAAGATAACAGCCAAGAGAGAAAATACGCAGCCAAAAAAAACCGAGTAACCGCTAGACTTCGCCATTGTTGCCGGAAATTGGAATCCTTGGCCCCTTGCCTGTTGCTGAACGTGAAGTGCTCCCTAGTCTCTCGTAGAGACGCTTCAACACTTGAGCTCGTGCCTCATGTGACTGTCGCGTCGTCAAATTCGTAACCAAACAATGCCAAGCACGATATCTCACGTGCGAATCGGCTTCCTAACAGTAGTATTCGGGCATATCTACCATGGCCATTATCCGTCCTCGCGCAGCAATATTTTTAGGAACCTTCCAGATCCTCCCTGTCTTGGAGAACGATTTCTTCTCAGTTCGCCCGGCCGAATCTAGCCCGGGGCTTCGGGTGAATCATTTGTGAATGTTAATCTGCTAAATTATTTTTCAGGTACCGACAAGGCATACTCGTCGACGGCCAGTGGGTATTTCGGCGGGTTTTCGGCGGGGTGCGGGTGATGTGCGCACTCGGAGCGCAACACTGCGTTGTTCTTGACAGCCATTTACATGCACTGTAACTCACCCGAGTCGGCGTCCCTCATCGCATTCCACATAGAGTGTCAGGGACGTCTTGGATTGGGTTCTCCCCCGGAACATTGCCACCATGGAGATTGAGCCGGGGAGTACGGATGAGAGTGCCATTTATATTTCAATTGTCGACGGCGACGTCCGTGTCCCGTCTTTACAGCGCTGTACCATAAACGGCGGTTCAACCTGGGATGCGCAACCGGAAACGGCAGTCCAACCTGGATCTGTACATCCACGGCAGTGCGTCCGCAACGTCATACTCAACTCTTAATCTTGGATGTGGTGGCAGAAGCGAGGATGTCTGTCACGCGTAATTTTGGATGTGCCAGGCTTAGTACCGAAAATGGCAAGCCAGCCGAGTTTCATTCCCGTATCAGGAACAGAAACCCTGCACACGATTTTCGTAAGTTCTGCAACATTCATTCATTCGCACTCCCAGGTTCCGCATGGGAAGCTGTTCAGAATTATCTTATAAAAGGCCGGGGGCGCCTGGCAGCCCTTGCCCATCCCAAACGATGGCTCTGTATCTCGCCCTCCTCACCCACCTCTGCGTACATGTTCTCGGGTTGATGGGCAATCCTGTCCTCACCCTCATCTTCTCCGGCCTCGCGCTAATCGTCTATTGGCTCTATCTCCTCCTATTACCCGCCCTCTGGCCCGGTCAAATCTTGCATGATATGCTGACGTGTTTTGAAGCAATGCAAAAATATTTGCATGAAGAAGCGGCGCATCGACGCACACTGGAGATGTACGACCTTTCCACTTATGGTCTCTCTGGGCTTGAGGAGTAAGTCCGCTCTAATTTCCACATCTTGGCTGCTCGTTCAACTGATTTTCCCGGTTTATAGGCTCAAACGTATCCGCGAGGTGCTCTTTGACGACCACTGTTTCCATTTGGCTGCCCCACTTCCTTATGCACATATGGGATTGTCTTTGTGCAAGCGCACTTGGCGGTGTAAGCGCAATGTCGAGGTATTGTGTCGGGAGTTAGATCTCACGGTACGTTCGGGTACTGTCTTATTATTGTGTTTGTTTCTCAAGATATCTTGTTAGATCCAGCGATTCGACAATCCAGACACGCTTGGTGATGATGAAGCTGCTTCCCGGGGCCGCGCCTGGTTCGATGCAGTTTTGACAGCATTGATCCACTGAGGTATGGCTCGACTCGCTCCTGAGCGCCAAAATCTTAACTGATCTGAGAATCAGGAAG